CCTTTGAGGCCCCTCGCGGCCCCTTTGCGGCCCCGTCGCCGCCTCTTTCGGCCCTGTCGCCGCCCCTTGCGGCCCCGTCGCCGCCCCTTTCGGCCCCTCCCCGGCCCCTTCACTGCCGTGCCGCCGAGCCGCCAAGCCGCCGGGCCGCCGAGCCGCCGAGCCGCTGAGCCGCCGAGCCGCCGAGCAGCCGAGCCGCCGAACCGCCGAGCCACCGAGCCGCCGAGTCGCCGAGCAGCCGAGCCGCCGAGCCGCCGAAGCCGCCGTCGAGCCGCCACTACCGAGCCGGTGCCGCCGAGCCGCCGTCGAGCCGCTACTGCCACTGCCGAGTCACTGCCACCGCAGTTGCAGCCCTGTTCCTACCGGCGCGCCCTGGCCCTACCCACCCGGACTGGTGAGAGCACTCCCTGCTAGACCATTGCTGTCATGGCTACCCCGAGTGTCCTTACCTTTGATGCCGAGGGTCGTGCTGTTAACTTCGAGGTCTGGGTCGATGACCTACAGCTCTTCCTACTGTGCGATACGGCAGACGGACTCTCCCTGTTCAATCTCACCTCTCGTGCCTCTCCTGCCCCGCCTGCTGATGCTTATAATGGGCCACACGCGATGCTGCTGCCTGTCTTGCTGTGCGTCGCCACTTACCGACCGCTGAGCGTGCGCACTTTAGTCAGTACAAGAGTGCTAAGACCTTGTACGACGCTGTGGTTGCACGCTACTCTTCCCTTGCCACTGCTGCTCTTAGCCGCATCATACTGTCGTACCTGTTTCTTGACCTCGCCGCCTTTCCCACTGTCGCTGACCTCGTTACGCACCTCCGCACTAGTGACACCCGATACCGCGCTGCGCTTCCTGCTGAATTCTGCGCCAAGAACCCCCCCCCCCCCCCCCCATATAAATCACCCTCTACTACATAGTTGTGAAAGAAACTAGAACGAGAATGAATGAACTAGGAATGAAGTGAGTACATATAGGAAACCCTGATTGGGTTGTACCCCCTATGGGATACCCCACTATAGCCTACACAAATATATAAGCTATAAAGTTCTGACACACCCCCATAGGCAAAGTGGGGGAGAACAAGGGGTCACAAGACCAGTCAAGCAAAGCAAAGCAAAGCTCAGGGTGGATCACAAAGTCACCACACATTCCGAGCACAAGTTCAAAGGCCAGAAGGCCAGTTCACATGCAAGATCACATATATATATATATATATATACAAGAGGCTAAGCAAGCAAGAGCAAGAGTATATATATGTGACAGTACAAGCAAGGTCAAGAAGTGAGCAAGTGAGGCAAGACAGGCACAAGACCCAGCTGAGTGCAGAAGCGCTGATGATCACAAGGCGCAAGTGCCTTGGTGAAGACATCAGCAGTGTTGGCCTCAGAGGCCACGTACGCAAGCCGCAACTGTCCACGCTGCTGTAGCTCACGAGCAAGAAAGTAGCGGAGAGCAATGTGCTTTGTTCTGTGCTCCAGTCGCTGCTCTCGACACAAGGCCAGCATGGCCTTGTTGTCTACGTACAGGACTGGAAGAGAACGAGGCGGCTCTCCAAGGTCGGTCAGCAGGTAGGTGAGCCAGCGAAGCTCCTAGGCAGCCATAGCCCCAGCGTAGATCTCAGCCTCACAACTGGAGCCGAGAACAGAAGACGAGCGGGTAGCCCGCCACGAAACAGAGCCGGAACCAAGACTGAAAGTGTAACCCTGTGACGACCGCTGCGTAGCCTGGTCGTCAGCCCAAGAGGCGTCCGCGTGCCCAGTGAGGACCACTGGACTCCCCCCTCCAAGCACTAGCCCCATGCCCGACGTACTGCACAAGTACGGTCGAGGCTGCGTGGCGACGCCAGAAACAGCAGGGACAGCACCAGGACCCCCAGCAGGAGTACCCGCTCCAGCAGCACCTCCAGTAGCTCCAGCACCTCCAGCAGCACCTCCAGCAGCTCCAGAACCCCCAGCAGCACCTCCAGCAGCTCCAGAACCTCCAGCAGTACCAGGAGCACCCCCAGCAGGACCGCCAGAGGTAGTCTCAGCGCCAACACCCTCATCAGCACCAGCTCCAGTCGAACCTGCAGGCCCAGCATCTCCAGTACTCCCAGGGCGAGCACCTCCGGGACCCGCGACAGCAGCACCCTCAGTAGCCGACGAACCTCCAGCACCAGCAGCACGGCTCCAGCGCCGGGCAAACCACTCGCGCAGCTCCTGTGGAGAGAGTGGCTCTCGGCGAGACGAAGCACCCGGAGAACCTCCAGGCAGAGCACCTCCAGGCACAGCACCCCCAGGTCCAGCACCCCCAGGCAAAGCACCCCCAGGCTCAGCACCCCCAGGGCCAGCACCCCCAGGCCCAGCACCCCCAGGCGTAGCACCCGCAGGCTCAGCACCCCCAGGCTCAGCACCCCTAGGCTCAGCACCCCCAGTAGCCGAAGAACCTCCAGCACCAGCAGCACGGCTCCAGCGCCGGGCAAACCACTCGCGCAGCTCCTGTGGAGAGAGTGGCTCCCTGCGATACGAAGCACCCGGAGAACCTCCAGGCGGAGCACCTCCAGGCTCAGCACCCCCAGGCCCGGCACCCCCAGGCAAAGCACCCCCAGGCGTAGCACCCCCAGGCTCAGCACCCCCAGGCTCAGTACCCCCAGGCTCAGCACCCTCAGCAGCACCAGAGTCACCAGTGACCTCGACAGGCTCGACTGCGTCTACGTGGGACACACCTGAAGGGGCAGGACCCTGAGGGGGGAGGGGGTCTACCTGGGGGGGACCTCGTACAAGGAAGAGCGGGGGCGGGGGGAGGGACGGAGTGCGGTAGGGGAAGAGGCGGTAGTAGGGGACCGACTCGTCAAACGTGACGTCCTGGGAGGACAAAACACGGCGAGAGGTGGGGTGGTAGAACTGCCACCCAGGCCCCTCAGGGGGGAACCCCAGGAAGACGCAAGGAGCAGCACGAGGGGACAGCTTGTCCGCAGACAAGTCGCGGACAAACGCCCGAGATCCCCAGACCCGGAACCCCGACGCATTGCCAACCTTCCCCGTCCACAGCAAGGCTGGGGAGGTCTCCGGCCTGGAGACCCTGGGGTGAAGGTTGATCTGATGCGCCGCGTACCTCACCGCAAATGGCCACAGAAAATGGGGGGCAGCCGCATGGATCATAGACGTACGAGCGACGTCCATGACCATGCCAATGCGGCGCTCAGCAATCCCATTTTGCTGCGGAGAGTCCGGAAGCGTGAAGGTCTGACGGATGCCCCGTGCGCGACAGTAGGCTCTCAGAAGGCCAGAGGAAAACTCTCCGCCTCTGTCTGAGTGTAGACGCAGAACAGGAAAGTCCGAGCCAAAGCTTTGCCTGAGCTGGAGACGAGCTGCGCGGATCCAGTCGATCAGCACCTCAGTGACATCACCCTTGCTGCGCAAGGGGAAGACTGCGGTGTAACGCGAGTAGTCGTCAACAACTAGCAGGAAGTAGCGCTCGTGACCCTGTCCACGAACGCGGGTTGGGCCCCACACATCCATGTGAATCGTCTGCAACGGGGCCTCTGTCGGAGGAAACTGGGAGGAGTGAGGGGCAGCACGCTTGCGCCCCTCGACACAGGGGACACAGGTAGGGCCAGGGCCCTGAGGAATGGGAGGGAGGGACCGGGGGAGACCAGAAACTAGAAGACGAGAGGCCATGCCTCTAAGCCGAAGCAGAGAGGGGTGACCAAGGCGGTGGTGCCAGAGGAGAGTCTCGTGAGACAGGAGACGACACGAACAGGGGGCAGACTCAGGACCAGACCTGGACGCTGCAGCAAACACCTGACCCGACGCAGCTACCCTACCAGACTCAGTAACTGGAGGAGACGCAGTGGTCAGTGTGTACAGGCTCGACCCCGGCCGACGAGTAAACGTGGCCAGGTGTCGGCCTGTCCGAGCGTCTGTGCAGTGGGTCACCCGCTGACTCGCAGGAGTGAACTGGTCAACCCCCGCATCCTGCAGGTCAGCACCACTCACCAAGTTCGTAGAGAACGAGGGGAGGTAAAGACCAGACAGGGTGTCAGAGGGGGCCGCCGGACACGGGAGGACAGTGGAGAAGTGAGCAAGGACAGGGCCCCCAGAGGGGTCTGCCAGAGAGACTGCAACTGGCCGACCAAGCGGCGTGAGTGTGGTGCGGTCTCGAAAGAAGGAGCGGGAAGCCCCCGAGTCAAGGGTGAAGGTGTGAGAGGCCGGAGCCGACGCGGTACCTGAGAGAGCAGACTCACCCGCATCTGAGGAAGCAAACTCACTAGCACCTAGAGCAGCAGCCGCACCTGTACGTGGAGCAGGAGACACACTAGCACCCAGAGCAGCAGCCGCACCAGCAGCTAGAGCAGCAGGCTCTATACCCGGGTCAGGCGGTACGCACAGGTGACCGGCACGGTCAGCACTAGTAGGCAATGCATACATGGCAGTGAGAATAGCATCATAGTCAAGAGCAAATATATCTACCCTCTGCCTAAGCAACTCCACCCAGTCGGGGAGCTCAGCCTCGTCGCCAAACTCGGTACGCCAGGCGTCGTTCAGACGGGCGAAGCAGCGGGACGGTGTATGACTAGGCGTCCCACAAGGCTGACCAGTCCGAGCACCAGTGCGAATCACGTAAGAGCAGCGAACAGAACTGAGAGACCCTCTACTCTGAGCGTACCACTCACGAAGCTGCTGGGGCGTGAGAGACGCGCGTGGGCATCGCTGGAGCTGCATCTGGCCGCCGCCAGTAGAAGCAGGAGCAGGAGTAGCAGCAGTAAGGAAGGCAGGGGCTCACCAGTGGTGGGAAGAGCAGGCTCGGGCGACCCGGGCGGCTCGGCTGCTCGGGCGACTCGGGCGGCTCGGCGGCTCGGGTGGCTCGGGCGGCTCGGGCGGCTCGGGCGGCTCGGGCGGCTCGGGCGGCTCGGGCGGCTCGGGCGGCTCGGCTGCTCTACGGCTCGGCTGCTGGGCTGCTCAGCGGCTCCGCTACGGCTCGGCTGCTGGGCTGCCCGGCGGCTCGGTGGGGGGGGCGGCTCCGCAATGCAGCAGGCGACGGGCCGGGGCAGCTGCGCGGGGCCGGGACGGGCGGTGCACGGGCGGCGTGGGGCCGGGACGTGCGGTGCACGTGCGGCGTGGGGCCGGGACGGCGGCGCGCTGCCGGAACGGGTGGCGCACGGGCGGCGTGGGGCCAGGACGGGCGGCGCACGGGCGGAGTGGAAGCCGGGACCACGGCGCGGGGCCGGGACGAGCGGCGCACGGGCAGCGTGGGGCCGGGACGGGCGGCTCACGGGCGTCGACGGGCTGGAGCAGCGGCGCGCGGTCGGGACGGGCGGCGCGCGGGCGGCTAAGGGCCGGGACGGGCGGCGCGCGGGCGGCTAGGGGCCAGGACGCGCGGCGCGCGGGCGTCTAAGGGCCGGGACGGGCGGCTAAGGGCCGGGACGGGCGGCGCGCGGGCGTCTAAGGGCCGGGACGGGCGGCGCACGTACGGTTAGGGGCCGGGACAGGCGGCGCGCGGGCGGTTAGGGGCCGGGACGGGCGGCGCGCTAGAAAAGAAAGAGGCCGCGCGCCCCGAGGCGCGCGCCAAAGTGCAAATCGCCGCGCGCCGAGATTGAAAATGCGTCGCACGCCACGGGGCGTGCGACAGAGCATGTAGCAGCGGAAGCAGTAGTACCCACAGGCCGAGAGCGTAACCGCTCTGAAACCATGTGAAAGAAACTAGAACGAGAATGAATGAACTAGGAATGAAGTGAGTACATATAGGAAACCCTGATTGGGTTGTACCCCCTATGGGATACCCCACTATAGCCTACACAAATATATAAGCTATAATGTTCTGACAATAGTCACCCGGCTCCCTGACTCCCTTCGCTCGGTCAGGGACCACTTCCTCTCTGTTTGCCCCACCACACTCACCGTTGACCTCCTCGAGGAGCGTCTCCTAGCACCTGAGAAGAGTATAGTTGCTGTAGGAGCCTCTCGAGGTGACCCGCATGCCCCTGTCTTTGAGGGGTGCTCCCCCTCCCCCCTTTTCCCCTCTGTTGCCTCTGCTGCTGCCGTCGACTTCGTTGGCACCGAGTCGGTCGGCGCTGCGTCTGCCCCTAGCGAGGGACGCCGCACCGGCAAGGGCAAGGGGGGCAAGGGCGCTGGAGGGGCTGGCGGGGGCGGTGGAGGTGGAGGTGGAGGAGGCGGAGGGAGTGGGGGTGGTGGTGGGAGTGGTGGCGGGGGTGGGGGCTTCGGTGGCGGCGGTGGCGGCGGAGGCCGCGGCGGCGGTGGCGGTGGGAGCGGAGGAGGAGGCGGTGGCGGCGGTGGCGGAGGTGGCGGTGGAGGAGGTGGAGCTCTTCGAGGTGGAGCTCGTCGAGGTGGCTCTGCGCAACGGGGCGGCTTAGGTGGTGGTCAGCGCCAGCAGTAGCAGCGCACTCGTGAGACCCCGTCCCCCCAGCAGCTTCGTGAGTGGTACACTGGGCGTCAACGAGGTGGGGGTACTGGTCCTTGTACCTACGTCCTCCGTACCGGCGACCGCGCTGGTGAGCAGTGCGGGGGCTCGCACTCCACCCAGCCCTGCTTCGGCCGCCTAGCGAACGCTTCGCGTCACCAGTTCCCTGATGCCACTGAGATCCCTCACTAGGGAGAGCTGTCTTGGGCGGGGGTTGCTATCTTTGATCTTGACTATGATGCTATTCTTGCTCCCATGTATGCTGTGTCTACTAGTGATGAGGGTGACTGTTACCTGTGTGTTCCGCCTCTGGTCTCTGCTCTCCCCCGGTCCCTCCCTCCCCTCCCTCCGGGGCCTGCCCCTACCTGCGTTCCCTGCGTCGAGGGGCGGCAGCGCGCCGCCCCTTACTCCTCCGAGTTTCCTCCGACAGAGGCTCCCCTGCAGACTCTTCACATGGACGTGTGGGGCCCCGCCCGCGTCCGTGGCCAGGGTCACGAGCGTTACTTCCTGTTGGTGATTGACGACTACTCGCGTTACACCACGGTGTTCCCCTTGCGCAGCAAAAGGTGACGTCACTGGGTTGTTGATCGACTGGATCCGCGCAGCTCGTCTCCAGTTCAGAGAGAGTTTCGGCTCGGACTTTCCTGTTCTGCGTCTGCACTCTGACAGAGGCGGGGAGTTTTCCTCTGCCCTTCTGGGAGCCTTCTGACGTACACACGGCATCCGCCAGACCTTCACGCTTCCGGCCTCTCCACAGCAAAATGGGATTGCTGAGCGCCGCATTGGCATGGTCATGGACGTCGCTCGTACGTCCATGATCCATGCGGCTGCTCCCCATTTTCTGTGGCCGTTTGCGATTCAGTACGCAGCACATCAGATCAACCTTCAGCCCCGGGTCTCCTTGCTAGAGACCTCCCCCACCTTGCGGTTGATGGGGAAGGTTTGCGATGCGTCTGCGTTCCGTGTCTGGGGATCTCGGGCGTTTGTCCACGACTTGTCTGCGGACAAGCTATCCCCCCGTGCGGTTCCCTGCGTCTTCCTTGGCTTCCCCCCTGACGCACCTGGTTGGCAGTTTTACCACCCCACCTCGCGCCGTGTTCTGTCCTCCCAGGACGTCACGTTTGACGAGTCGGTGCCTTACTACCGTCTCTTCCCCTACCGCACTGCGCCCCTCCCCCCACCGCCGCTCTTCCTTGCGCCAGGTCCTCCCCCGGTAGACCCTCACCCCCTTCAGGGTCCTGCCCCGTCAGGTGTGTCTCAGGTAGACGCAGTCGAGCCTGTCGAGGTAGCTGTTGACTCTGGTGCTGCTAGGGGTGCTGAGCCTGCGGGTGCTGAGTCTAGGGGTGCTGAGCCTGGGGGTGCTGAGTTTGGGGGTGCTGAGCCTGGGGGTGCGGAGCCTGGGGGTGCGGAGCCTGGAGGTGCTGAGCCTGGGGGTGCTGAGCCTGGGGGTGCGGAGCCTGGGGGTGCTGGGTCTGCTCGTGTGGCCTCTGGCGGTGCTTCATCGAGGCGGGAGCTACCCTCTCCGCAGGAGCTACGCGAGTGGTTTGCGCGGCGCTAGAGCCGTGCTGCTGGAGCTGGAGGTGCTACGGTTACTGCTGACCCTGGGGTCGGCACTGGAGTTACTGGAGCCACTGAACCTGGAGGTGCTCGTACTAGCGGTACTAGAGCTGCTGGGACTGCTGGGTTCGTACAAGTTTGACACACCCCCATAGGCAAAGTGGGGGAGAACAAGTGGCCACAAGACCAGTCAAGCAAAGCAAAGCAAGCTCAGGGTGGATCACAAAGTCACCACACAGTCCGAGCACAAGAGCAAGGCCACAAGGCCAGTTCACATGCAAGATCATATATATAAAGGTAAACAAGTAAGTGCAAGTATAGAAAGAGTACAGTACAAACAAGATCAAGAAGTGAGCAAGTGAGGCCAGGTAGGCACAAGACCTAGCAAAGTACAGAAGCGCTGATGATCACAAGGCGGAAGGGCCTTGGTGAAGATATCAGCAGTGTTGGCCTCAGAGTCCACGTAGGTGAGGCGGAGCTGACCACGCTGCTGCAGCTCACGAGCCAGGAAGTAGCGGAGAGCAATGTGCTTCGTTCTGTGTTCCAGTCTGTGCTCCCGACACAAGGCCAGCATGGCCTTGTTATCTACGTACAGAACTGGAGGAGAACGAGGCGGCTCTCCTAGGTCAGTCAGCACGTAGGTGAGACAGCGTAGCTCCTGCGCAGCCATGGCCCCTGCGTAGATCTCAGCCTCACAGCTTGAGCTGAGAACAGAAGACGAGCGGATAGACCGCCACGAAACTGAGCCGTAGCCAAGGCTGAAGGTGTAACCCTGTGACGACTGCTGCAAAGCCTGGTCATCAGCCCAAGAAGCGTCAGCGTGACCTGTGAGGACCACTCGACGTCGCCCTCCAAGCACTAGCCCCATGCCCGACGTACTGCACAAGTAGCGCAACACCCTCTTCGCTGCAGCCATGTGCTCTAGTCGGTGTCTCCCAGGAGCAACATAGCGTGCCAAAATGCTAAGAGGGTATGCAAGGTCAGGTCGTGTGCAGGTCATCAGGTACATGAGGCAGCCAACAAGCTCTAGGTATGGGCCACTCGGCTCTACGGACTCATCCGAAGGCAGAGCTGAGAGCGAGTGGCGAGTAGACAGAGGAGTAGTCTGAGGCGAGGAGTACGTGAAGCCGAAACGCTGAAGGACCTGCTGCACCATGTGTGACTGAGTCAAGGTAATGGTGCGCCGTGCTCTGTCTCGGGTGATCTGCAAGCCAAGGTAGCTGCGCAGTTCACTCAGGTCAGTGCACGTATGTCTCTTTTGCAGCTCGGACTTCACGTGGGCGAGTCCAGGAGTGTCAGCAGTAGCAAAGACCAAGTCGTCTACGTACACGAGGATGTAGAACGGCGACAAAGAGGTGTCGGTGCACAGAAACAGCGACGGGTCGGCAGTAGAAGGAGCAAACCCAAGAGCCGCAAGTGTAGTCCTCAGTGTGTCGTGCCACTCACGGGGTGCCTGGCGGAGACCGTAGAATGGCCGCCAGAGGCTCCACTAGGTACCAGGTGGAAACGACCCAGTGAAGCCAGGTGGGCGGCGCAGCCAGATCTCCTCGTGCAGGCTGCCCTGCAGGAAAGCTGTGCTGAAGTCAAGAGAGTGAAGCTCGTAGTCGCGCTGAGCAGTCATCTTTGGGGTGGGAGAGAAGGTCTGAAAGTAGTCAACTCCCTGCCGTTGACTGAAGCCTCGAGCCACGTAACGTGCCTTGAAGACAGGTGGAGAGCCCGGCGCCCGCTTGACCCTGAAAATCCTTATGCCACTGACGATGTTTGCCCCTGGTGGGGGACTTCCAGGAAGCCATCTGTGTGTCCATGGCTGACTGCCACTGAGAGGAGTAAGGACTCTCCATCGCCTCTGCGTAAGAGTGCACAGTCTGGATGTCTGGTGCATCCGGGTCTCCCTCAGGGGCAACTAGCATGGACACGAGATGAGGCAAAGCAGATGCAAAACAGTGGAACTCCTCCTGCCTGTCCTCAAGGACGTCCGTGCTAAGAGCACACTCACCCCCGACGGACGAAGGACAGACAGACTTACACTCAGCAACGAGACTGGCAGCGTAGTCTAGACGACAACGAGCAGCAAAGTCGACAAGCTCAGCAACTAGTGCAGACACAGCAGTGGACTCAAAGGAAGGGTCAGTGACAACTGTAGCAAGGAGACGCGTGACCGAAGGACTAGCAGCACGAAGGGAGTCAGACTCCGGGTCAGCAAGAGTAGGAAGAGAGGACTCTGGAGGAGACGGCAACGGGACACGCAGAGGAGCAGTGGAAGGACGCAGCGCCATCTGGTGTGTGCTGGGGACCGCAGGAGGACGCGGACGCGCAGTATGACCATTAGTGCGAGCAGCACGAACAGGCGACGCAGGACGAGACGCGGGCGCACGACGCTCAGCAAGACCTCCGGTAGAACCAGTGTAGGGAGAAGGAGCAGGTAGAGGGGAGGCGGGCTGTAACTGTGCCTACGACTGGACAGGCTGTGGACACTCTAAGGAAGGAGCAGGACCAGGAGAGGGCTGGAGACCAAGAACCTGCTGAAGGAGCGGAACGAAGTACGGCCTCGGCCGCTTAGCGCCTCCAGAGCCAGCAAGGACGGCACCAAAAGCCCCAGCGGTAGTACCAGCGCCAGCAGCAACTCCAGCTCCAACAGCGCCAACTCCAGCACCTTCAGAAGCACCAGCGCCAGCAGTACCGCCAGCGCCAACACTCCCTGCAGCTCCAGCTCCAGCAGCACCAACTCCAGTAGGACCGTCAGCTCCAGCAGCCTCAGCAGCACCCCCAGACGCACCAGCGCCAGTAGAAACACCAGCGCCAACACCCCCAGCAACTCCAGCTCCAGCAGCACTAGTACCGCCAGTAGCTCCAGCAGGACCAACTCTAGTAGCTCCAGCAGCACCCCCAGTCTCAGCACCACGTCTCCAGCGGCGGGCAATCCACTCGCGCAGCTCCTGTGGAGAGAGTGGCTCCCGCCTCGACGAAGCACCGCCGGCGGCCACACGAGGAGACCCAGCGCCCCCAAGCTCGGCACCCCCAAGCTCCGCACCTCCAGGCTCCGCACCCCAAGGCTCCGCACCCCCAGACCCAGCACCCCCAGGCTCAGCACCCCCAGACTCAGCACCCCAAGACTCCGCACCCCAAGGGTCAGCACCCCCAGTCTCAGCACCCCCAGACCCGGCACCCGCAGGCTCAGCACCTCTAGCAGCACCACAGTCAACAGCTACCTTGATAGGCTCGATTGCGTCGACCTGGGACACACCTGACGGGACAGGACTCTGAGGGGGGAGGGGGTCTACAGGGGGAGGACCTGGTGCAAGGAAGAGCGGCGGCGGGGGGAGGGGCGCAGTGCGGTAGGGGAAGAGACGGTAGTAAGGCACTGACTCGTCAAACGTGACGTCCTGGGAGGACAGA